GCATAGTTTAGATCAGCCGGAACCGGGAACACGTCCCGTAAATCCTGATGTACTTGGTACATCATAAGAAGGATGGCGTCTACGCTAATATTAGTCTCTCTGTTTATCCCGAGGGACCCTCTATGGTGGACCTGCGCCTCGACCCATCCCAACTCATCCTGAAGTGCCAGCCTCATCAGCCCTGTGAAGGCCTCATCGACACGACGGTCATCGGCTCTGATCCTCAACAACTCGTCTCCATACCAGCGTGATTACTTCGACTTCCAAACAGATGGAAATGGATAAATACTCTAAATGTTCCTATCAAATCTGACTTGTAACGCTGCCCGAATCCTACACTGTTCCTTCGCTGGCCAGAGGAGAACTGGCCCCTGACTGAGTCTGGGTTCTCCCAAGGTTTTTTTCTCCATTCTGTCACCTGATGGAGTTTTGGTTCCTTGCTACTGTTGCCTTGGCTTTTGGCTTGCAGAGTTGGGGACATTTGATATTCAACAATATTATAGATCTGCCTTACTCAAGGTGGACGTTGACGCAATTTTCTTCTAGAAACAAACTTTGTTGTATTATTTTCATGTTATCACTGTGAAGCTGCTTTGATACAATCTGTATTGTAAAAAGCGTTATATAAATAAAGGTGACTTGACTTGACTTGACTTCTGTCCTTCAAGTGGAGAAGAGTGAGAAAGTCCTCCTTCGTTGTAGAATCCTGGAAAACCATTCTGACAAATACAACAAGCTGAGGGATCCAATTGCAGTGTGAAATATTCACAAAGTGACAGGTCCCTTAACACCTGTCGATCCACGTCCTCCGACAGTGATTCGACCCTTCTTGTCACTGTTGCGGGGCCAAGCGGGACACTGCTGAATGCTGTTTTGATGTCATCTTTTTTTTGAAGTCGTTGCAAACTGTGTCAGCTATAATAGCCATAGCCTACTTGATTAACTCACCGTCTGTAAAAGGCTTCTTATGTTTGGCCAAAAGGTGACTAACACGAAATGATGCTTCTGTAGCAGCCTTATGTCGAACAGCAGGTTTAGTGAAGAGCGACTGCTGGGCTTTCAACTCCAACTTTAGCTCCGCCACTTTTTTAGCACGGATGGCGTGCTTCGGTGGATAGCTGTCCCTAAAGGTCGGGTGGTTAGCATTGTGGTGCCGCTCCAGATTTCCTCTTTTAGCCAGTGCTTGTGTTTGCCGGCATAACATACATATACACTTGTCTTTAACTAACGTAAAAATGAATTGTTCTTTCCATTCTGGATGAAAATAATAGGTTCGCGGCTTCTTTCGCGGAGCCTCAGCCATGTTAGCTGTCTGTAACTAATTCTTGCTTAGAAGAAGAAATGAACCCTTCCTATATATTCTATATATACTGTATAACCATGTGATAAATCTCTTAACATGTATCTAATTTTCCATCTCATAATTTTTCTTTTATGTGGTTTGGCCTATGTTTCATTCTATCTTCTAAACTATTTTGGTCTGAAACATGACTTGCAAACTATGGGTAACCAAAATGTGTGGCATGTTTAGTCTCTATAAAATCCAATCTTTGTCCCCCATTTGTTAATTTACATTACGTTTTGCTAACTTTATGACGCATTAGTATTATAAGAATCTTGAAGATTCTTTTCGTAAACACCCAATGAAATTAAACATTCAAATGCCCTGCTAGAAGACAATGGGTTGTAAAAATTCCCTACAAAAGGGATGGTTTCGCATTGGGGCGAAACCATTTGGGGCGGCAGAGGCTCAGTGGTTCATGTAGGTTGTCTACAAACAAGAAGGTTGGTGGTTTAATCCCCGGTTCCACCTGACCAAGTGTCGAGGTGTCCATGAGCAAGACACCTAACCCCATGGCTGACGAAAAGGGTCTGTGAAAGCGCTATGTAAATGCAGTCCATTTTACCATTGGCTCAAGCACCTCCAGAGGGTGTTACATTTTCACGCTTTAAAAATCACTGATCATCAAGATCAGCTCTCTCTTAGCTCTTCGCTTGTCTCTCTGGTCCTCTTGGCTTGTTTCTCTGGTCCTCTTGGCCTCTTGCTCTCTTACTCTCTCTGTCCTTCCTGAGAAGTCCTAACGTGAAGATGATGCTGAACTAGAAGTCCCTCAAGGACTCCCAAGCTTGCGCCAGGCTGTGGCCTTGTCTTTTCATTCACCTAAGATCCTCTGACTCCCACTGGTTCTCTCTCATCAAGACCACATCAGCAAAGATCAACTGGAGCCTCAACAAATTGCACCAGGACAGTTTAATGCAAATGGACGAGACATGCAAGTATCAAACTTAGTCTCATTAATACATTAAGTCCTTAAGTCCTTACCCCTTTTCAAGAAGGGCGTGTTAGAACTAAACTGATGGTTTGCTCAGGCTGTTGATCTGCTGAACATCAAACAATGCTATAACTTCTTGCTTTCCTGTATTCTGCTCCAGCTCTCTTTCCCTTGGTAAACTGTATGCATGTATGTATGTGTATTTTAGAGTAGTTTAAATGTTTAGTCTAGTTAATAGTCTTTTTCATATCACACGTAAAGTTGTCCGTGTCTCAAGCTCATATCTGGAGTCACTAATCATAGATCTTGACTACTTGCTCTTAGTAGTACTTAGTAAGAAAGACATTTCCCATGCCCCGGAAATGTACATTTTCTATGAATTAATTAATAACCAATATTGAGTGTTCACGGGATGAACCGAGTAATTGGTTGTAATGTTAATGTAGCTACATCAAGTTAACCCGATTAACTGATCCAAATATTCATAATCAATTATAACAAGTTATGACTGATTATTAATATTTCATAGAGCCAGTTTGCTACATATTCGTTGCGATGTGGATGAGAATTTGTGGCCCAACAGACAGGAACGTCAGGAGGTGTAGGAAGACTGCACTGTAATTCCTACAGCACTGCATGTACAGTTTTCCCTAAGGAGATTGTCCTATCTTCACATTTCTACATTTGTTTTTTTCTTTGTGCTATGCAGTGCTGTCTTTTCCTTTCTGTATCGCAATGACATGGTCTGTCAACAAATGACAGTACAAACAGTAAAAGCGTAATGTGAATGTGAATCTTGTCCAGTCTCTTGCAATCAAACTCCCACATATGTGAACATGACAATTCCACATAACTTACAGTTTTTCTCAGTCGCTTTGGAACATTTCTCGAATCATCCTCGACATTAGCAAAACAGACAGTAAGTGCATTTCTCATACCAATCCGTACAAATAGCAAAACACCATGGATTACCTGCAAAAGCCAGTCTCTTGCTCAAAATACTTAGTTTGTCTCTCAAAAGTAAATATCTGTGTCAATGAACATGTCAGTGCCATCAGAATGACAAGTCCTTGTGTCATCGTGTACGGATAAGACGGTCAAACTGCTTAGTTATGTTGTCAATATAACAGTGTACTCTGGAGGGACGTTCTGATGTAAACTATGGCTAAAGTTTTGATGAGAATTATTGCAAATTGTAGGTTACTGAAAAAAGTGCACTTAAGTGGCATGTCATTACTCTAAAGAAGGTTTTATACTTGATGTAACTCAAAACATTTAATTTTCTGTCTAGTCATCAGTGTTAAGTAAAAAGGTTTGGTTGATTTGAATTAAAAGTAAGTCTTGTTAGTGTAAAGTAAATACATTTCTTTAAATTAAAGTAAAAATATTGGTTTCCATTGTCACGTGACTTCTAACGTCATCCGTGATCGTGCGTGAGGACGTTCAGCTTTCCGCCATCTTGTTACACCGCATGGATGAACTCGGAGTGGGGAAACGGGAATCAAGAAAATTGGTAAGTAATTTTAAACATACGTTTGTGTGTATTATTAACATTATACATCAGGGCTTGACATTCAGGCCCCGTTTACACGAGAACGATGCCGGGTGAAAACGTAAAAATATTTTATCGGATGTGCCTTTCGTTTACCCCGGCAACGGCGTTTTGGGGGCTTAAAAACGCAAAAAAGTGAAACTACCCCCCAGAGTGGAAATCTTAAAAATGCTCCACCGTCGCGTTCCCGTCTAAACGGTAAAAACGCAAATCTGCTCACGGTGGCTCTCGTCGCGTACATGCATGCGCCAGCACAGGAAAATAACAACCAACATGTCAGATTATTTCCATACGTCGGACCTTCAAGTTGCCCTAGCAGCTCTGAAAAACATACAAGAGTCTTTAGTTGTACAAAATATTCTAAGATATTGGTGTTGTTGTGTGGCAGTGCTTCACATTGCCAGCTAGCCGCCTGGAGTGCATACTACATCGAATTTCACACACTTTTGCGTCACCATATGCACGCGGATTTCCCAACCATAAAGCTCGTCTAAACGCAGAATAAAAAGTGATAACGCAACGCCACTTTTGCGTTTTCTCTTCAGATCGTTTCCGTGTAAACATAGCCTAACACCCGCTATTCGCGGGTGGGTTTCAGGTGTGGCGTGTAACACAGTCACTCCCACTACTAGCCACTTTGGCGAGTTGAGTCCTCTCAAAAGGCATATCTTATATGGTAACGTTAATCACGTTGCGCATTAGAACAAACACACGCGATTCTTTTGAGTTTATGAATGCAATGTCTAATAATCAGAAGGCATTCAGATTAGTCATCACTGAAACGCGGGAGTTTTGTTCAGAGCGCGCTCTCACTCACTGAAATCTGCACTCAAAGCAGATGTTCGAGCGATGTGGCCTACATAGGAGATTCATTCATCATACAGTGATTGACTGTTTTTGGCCAGTGAAAATGCTGAGTGGTTAACTTTAGAAAACCACTAGCCACAGTGGCTGGTGAGCAAAAAAGTTAATGTCAAGCCCTGTTATACATGTATAATTTCATAAAATATTAGTGACTAATCCTGAATTTACCATAGTTTTTACAATGGTATTTTAGTAGTGTTTTTGAAGTTGTTTTAGATGCCCTAATTATACATTATGTTGTTTAATGCTTTGTGTGTCTATGTATTTTTACAACTAGTTCTCAAAGTAAAATATTTTTTTTCAAAGTCTATTTTCTGTTTCTTACAGATTAATGCCAAATTTTTCCACATCACGACCTTGCCTTTACAATCGAGATGTATGGCCTCTTTGGACAGACAGAGCTCTCAGCTTCTCCAGGTTATTAGGAGCAAAGGGAAAAGATTTAGTGAAAAAACTAAGGATACTATTAAAGTTGTGGATCAGGTATTGGTTGCATGCGAACAAAATTGCTTGTTGCAATCAATTTAGTAGTGTTTTGGTCTAATAAAAACAATACATCTTGAACATTTTGCAGAGTCTGGACATAGACATCAGAAGAGAGTGCCTGCTGAAGTGCCTGATCATGTACCTTGGTGAAGATGCAAGCTGTCTGATCAAAGAATACCAGGTAATGTAGACAATGCAAACTACTGAAATTTTCTCCAACCATGTTTGCCTTAAAGTTATATTTCACTACCAAGTCAATATTTCCCCATGTTTTACTCGCCCTCAAGGCATCATAACTGAATATGGTTACAAGTGCATCTCAATAAATTAGAATGTCGTGGAAAAGTTCATTTATTTCAGTAATTCAACTCAGATTGTGAAACTCGTGTATTAAATAAATTTAGTGCACAAAGACTGATGTAGTTTAAGTCTTTGGTTATTTTAAGTGTGATTTAGGCTCACATTTAACAAAAACCCACCATTCACTATCTCAACAAATTAGAATACTTCATAAGACCAATAAAAAAATAAAAATAAAGATTTAGTGAATTGTTGGCCTTCTGGAAAGTATGTTCATTTACTGTATATGTACTCAATACTTGGTAGGGGCTCCTTTTGCTTTAATTACTGCCTCAATTCGGCGTGGCATGGAGGTGATTTGTGGCACTGCTGACGTGGTATGGAAGCCCAGGTTGCTTTGATAGCGGCCTTCAGGTCATCTGCATTGTTGGGTCTGGTGTCTCATCTTTCTCTTGACAATACGCCATAGATTCTCTATGGGGTTCAGGTCAGGCGAGTTTGGTGGCCAATCAAGCACAGTAACACCACGGTCATTGAACCAGCTTTTGGTACCTTTGGCACTGTGTGCAGGTGCCAAGTTCTGCTGGAAAATGAAATCAGCATCTCCAAAAAGCTTGTTAGCAGAAGGAAGCATGAGGTGCTTTAAAATGTCCTGGTAGATGGCTACGTGGACTTCAGAAAACACAGTGGACCAACACCAGCAGATGACATGGCAGCCGAAATCATCACTGACTGTGGAAACTTCACACTGGACTTCAAGCAACGTGGATTCTGTGCTTCTCCACTGTTCCTCCAGACTCTGGGACCTTGATTTCCAAATGAAATGCAAAATTTACTTTCATCTGAAAAGATGACTTTGGACCACTGAGCAACAGTCCACTTCTTTTTCTCCACAGCCCAGGTAAGACGCTTCTGACGTTGTCTCTGGTTCAGAAGTGGCTTGATAGCCCATTTCCTGAAGACGTCTGAGCGTGGTGACTCTTGATACACTGACTCCAGCTTCAGTCTACTCCTTGTGAAGCTCTCACAAGTGTTTGAATCAGCTTTGCTTGTCAGTATTCTCAAGCTTGAAGTCATCCCTGTTGCTTGTTCCTTCCAGTCAACTTTGCATTTAATACGCTTTGATACAGCATTCTGTAAATAGCCACACCTTTCAGTAATGACCCTCTGTGACTTACCCGTTTTGTGGAGGGTGTCAATGTTCGACTTCTGGATCATTGCCAAGTCAGCAGTCTTCTCCATTATTGTTGTTTCATAGAACAAGAGATACCCTGAATTTATACTGTAGGGATGGTCGTTAATTGAAACTCAAATGTATATATTCTAATGTTTTGAGATACTGATTTTAATTGAAACTCAAATGTATATATTCTAATGTTTTGAGATACTGATTTTAGTTCTAGTCATCTAAATAAAAAATAAAAAAAACTTTTGAAATGTTCAACTTAACATGCAATGAATCAAACTTTCAAAATATATGAAAGTTTCACTTTTTGAAATAACTTAAGAGAAAAAAATTACTTTATCACGACATTCTAATTTATTGAGATGCACCTGTATATTTTAAAGAAAAAAACAGGCAAAGTTATAATCCTACGCATCATTTTACTTCCAAGCGGTAGAATGGGAGTGAATTGTTGACTTTTTAAAGCTTCAAATAGTGCATCCATTGATTCAAAAACTGCTCGACACGGCTCTTTGGTCTTAACAAAGGTCTAAAGCCTTGAGGGTGATTTGGTAGTAACATATCGCTTTAAAGTAGTTCAAGTAATTATGTTATCATTTACACATCAGCCTGTGTGACTTTCTTCCACAGAACACAAAAGAATATATTTTGAAGAATGTTGTTAAGAGCCCCCCATTCACTTGCATTGGTTTTGTGTCCATACAATAATAGTGAATGGAGGCTGTGCTGTTCTGTTACCAACATTGTTCAAAATTCTGCAGAGGACAGTAATTCATACAGGTTTGAAATGACAAGAGAAATTTAAATGATGACAGAATTTTGATTGTGAATTACTACTTTAATAGGGGTTGGTTCACCCAAAAATGCATTTTGAACACTGTTGAGTAGATTAATAAATGCCTCTGATTGGCCATTGTGGTACTGCACTCAACAAATATGTTTGTGATTGTCTACAATGGTCAACACATGGGAGCGTTTAATTGTACAAGTGTTTTAAAAGCATTTTCAAAGCCAAAGATAGTGTAAAAGTACGTCTTCACCAAAAATGAAAGTTTTGTCATCACTTACTCTACTCTTGTAATAAACCGTACAAATGTCATTTTTACATTGAACACAAATGAAGATATTTTAATGAAAGTTAGCAACAGACGTTTGGGCTCTACGTTGACCTTCATAGTAGGACAGCTAACAACATTTTGTAATAAAATTTTCAGATGAAGGGATGTTTTTTTTTCTTTCTTCCACAGTCCCTCAATTACTATCTGTTCTTGTATGTTTTTAGGCTAACCAGAGGGAGGAAGCGGGGAGAGAATTTGAAAAGATGCGAAAGTGATGCTCTTAGTCATGCACTGGACATTTCCATTGTCATTGAAGGTGTGGAAGTACTAAAGGAGTTGCCCTCTGATGCATGTGCCTGTGCCATGATGTTTGGACTCATTTATGCACTGAACTTAAAATATCCTGAAGGACTCAAATATACCTTTGAGGCCTTTAAGTAAATAATCATGGACATAGCATGGACAAGCAGATGAGCCGAAGGGTGCAGAACCTCAAAGCTGCAGGAGAAATTTGTTTCCTTTGACCCAACTACAATGTTCTGCTGATGGTAAATTTCTGATTTGTTGGACTGTATAAAGCCTTTTATACAAATTTAACTGTGTGTTGGTACTACTGTTTACTAAACCGGATTTGTTTTATCTAGGGTTAGTTAAATAGTTTACCCAAAAATGAAAATTGTTTCTCTTCAAAACCATAACTGATTCTTATTGTGAATTTACATTGTATCCAATGTGTCTATGAATATCGATACTGAAACAATACTATACACATTGTAGAAATGTGTTGACAAAAATTTTCAAGTTTATGATGTGTTTACATTGTTAAATAGTGTGTATTTGTATGAGGATACTGTACATATTGCAAAAACATTTGTATTATGACAAAATAAATTGTCAAAAGTTTGATGCTTGAAGTCATTTTTCTTAGATGATAAAATTACACATTCTGAAAGTAAATAAATTTCTTTATTACATTAATATTTTAAATTGTATTTGTTTGAATATTTGGTTAGATGTAAAGTAAAATAATTAAGTTAATACAAAGACAAAACATTGAGACAAAGTATAATTTGAGACTTCATTAAACTTAAAAACTTTATTTGATTCAAAGATACTTTTTGCTTTGGCTAAGTAATGGATAGTTAATTCTCTTCAAAGTAAAAATTTTAAGTTGATAAAAAGTAAGTCAATTAGATGTAACCAGTTGACGCAATTATTTTACTTTGATCTAATGAGACACTTTTTGATTATGCATCTCAGGTTACACAAGAAGTTAAAATAATCAAACTGGGGATGTTATTTCCTGCTTCCTTTCTTATTTATCTTTATCTATCTATCTATCTATCTATCTATCTATCTATCTATCTATCTATCTATCTATCTATCTATCTATCTATCTATCTATCTATCTATCTATCTATCTCTATCTATCTATCTATCTATATATATATATATAAATCCATCCCTCCCTCCCTCCCTCCATCCATCCATTCATCCATCCATCTATCTATCTATCTATCTGTCTGTCTGTCTGTCCGTCCATCCATCCTCCAAACCGTGGGAAAATGTTCATTCGTTCATTGATTTGTTCGTTCGTTCATTAATTGCTGTAGCTCTACACTGTAAAAAGTGATCAGTTGACTTAATTTTAAAGTGAGGAAACCCATTGTCTTAAAAAAATTAAGTAATAAACTTCATGTGTAATTGAAAAAATGCTTGTTTAAAGTTAAAAGCTGTAAATTGCAATAGATGTAATATTAAAAATAATAATAATATTAGATAATATCAAGAAATTCTGGAGACTTCCAGTGCATGAAAACAAACGCCCTACTACCAGACATTTTACTCTGTTCCATGTTCTTATAACTCGAGTACAAACAACAGCTAAACCTTCCCAGAATCTACTCTCCAGGAATGGGCAGGACTATTACTTCATTATTTATTAGATTAACTGGATATTTTAAGCCTTTACACGATAAACTAGTGGTCACAAGTCTTATTTAGCTGTGTTTTTGATCAATCAAATTCTGCCCCCTAATGGCAGGCCACATGGAGGCCAAAGACCCAGCACCCGTCCCGTGCTTTCATGTCTCCTATCAAGAAGATCACACACACATGCTAACTTGTGTTAAAGGCCTTGGATATTGCAGGTTATTATTCATCATACTTACTGGTGTTCATAGATACAGTCTCTACAATATTTCTTTATTTTTGTAGATTGTCTAGTGGTGTTGATGGCAAACAAACTTCAGGCTTAATGAATTATTAAATATCTTGCGCTATTTCGCAAACTATTATTTATGGAAGCCCTCAGAGTAAAAAGGTGATTGTGAGATAACGTTTAAAATAAGAAATAAAGTCACATTGTGAGATATAAAGTCACAATTATATATATATAAAAAAAGTTTTCTCACTTGCATGCATTTTCCCCACCACTCCCTTAAAGTTTTGCAACAATATTACATATGAAGGTTACAAAACATTCGAAATGAAATATCTCAACTGCATCTGAAGTAGATGCCACTGAAATTCATGGTCACCATTCAAATGCAGGTCTGAATACTTGCTGGTAAATAAGATAGTTTATCCTTTACTTTGTAGCCAGTCTCATGTCATATTCATTGCATCCACAGACAGCTCACAGTATACATTTATTCTAAAATATTTTTTTATAAAAATTATCAATTAAAACTAGATGATTTTTTGTACTTTAAGTAGGTATTTTGTGTACCTGACTATCATATATCTATGGAAGCTTGTTTCCACCACTGACTAAACAAAATAATAACAAAAAAATAATGAATGAATTAATAATAATAATATTTTTTAAACTGTATTTCTAATTTTATTTTTATTCTGAGAGAAAAAAAGTCTAAATTGTGTGGTGCCACAGCAATCACGTTGCTAAAGCAGAAAAAAAATCTGATACATTGCCATATTTCAAACGGTATGATTCGTACACGAGGCCAATTTGTTATCATTAGAAAATTATGATGTCTTGTTTAACTGTGCAAAAAATGAATGACACCATCAGTGAAACATGAGTGTTTGTCTGGATTTTTTTCCAGTTACCCGCATTGGCTGGCATGAGGATGCAAACGCATCGGTTTGGTGACTGATGATCTGAAACATGACACCTGTTTATCCAGACATTTGGTCTGATGTGAAATATATGATAATGAAATTAATCTGCAATGACTGCGTTTAGTTGAGTGATTTCACAGTTCACATCCTGCACTGCATGCACGCTAAATTGATTTAATAACTTGGCCTGCCATCCACTAATTTGCTTTGATGTGATATCACTTCATTCTATGGTGTGAAGTGCATCTGTACGAATTAAGTATTTACATCTTAATTGTAATTACTGGGGTTAATAAGGCTGTAAATAAGAGTAATCTGCATAAAAACAAGTTTTCAATTAGAAAGGTAAAGGCAATGCTGAAAAATAGTCTTAGTGGGATCGTGAAAAAAATATGATTATGCATAGCACACCCCTTTGATGGCATCCTTCATAACATCAAACTTCAAAAGTTTGTAATAAATAGGTAATAAGTGATGTGTTAACCCTTTATAACAACCACAATTTGAATTTTATGCATTCCTAATGCATTTATACAATATTTATCAAATAAAGACTGACCAAACACCCATATTTCAACGCAAACACCAATATTTAAAACTTCAGTTTAGTTTACTTACAATTGGAAACCAATTGCAAATTTTTTAAGACTCCATGGCCTGGTTTCACAGACAGGGTTTAGATTAAGCCCGGAGTAGGCCTTCATTCAATTAGGACATTTAAGTAGCTTTTATAAACCTGCCCTAAACATTGGTGTGCATCTTGAGACAAAACATATCTTATACCAAATGTTTTAAGGTATGCCAGTGCAAGTTGCTTTCAGTTAAAACAGCTCAAACACACATTTTGAACTAAAACACACATTTTAGTCTGGGACAAGGCTTTTTAGTTTTTTAGTCTGTGAAACCAGGGGTATATTAAATGGAAGTTTAATGCCATGTTGAGTATAATAGTCTTTATTATGGAAGCTTGTTTCTGCCACAGAATAAAAAGGTGATTGTGACTTTTTTTTTTCTCATAATTGCGTGATATAAAGTCGCCATTGCGTGTTATAAAGTAAGAATTGTGAGATATAAACTCACAATTGCAAGTTTATATCTCACAATCCAGATTCTGGCTTTTTTTCCTCTGAATTGCTTGTTTATATCTCACAATTCTAACTTTATGACACGCAGTTGGAAGATTTAAAGTCAGAATTGCATGATATAAAGTCGCAATTGCATGTTATAAAGTCAGAATTGTGAGAGATAAACACTTTATAGTTCGCAATAACTTTATAGTAGTCTTTTCTCGCAATTGCGAGTTTATATCACAATTCTGAGTAAAGATGTCAGAATTGCGAGATATAACCTCGCAATTGAGTGTAATAAAGTCAGAATTGCTAGATATAAACTCGCAATTGCGAGAAAAAAAGTCAGAATTCTGACCTTATAACACGCAATTCTGACTGTATAAAAATAAAGAAATAAAGTCTGAATTTCGAGATGTAAACTCACAATTGTGAGATAAAAATGATCTTTAAAAAAAAAATATTCTGTGGTGGAAAAAAGTTTCCATACTTTATGATATACTTCATATTAGTAGTGGCCAAAAAAGATGTCTGGCCGAGGAAAGGTGACATTGCATCTACTGTGCAAAAGTCTTTGCACCCCCACCCCCTGTTAATACACTCAAAAAAATTTGAAGAGGTTGAATAAACAGTATCATCAAGCAGCAACAGCTCTGTCCTTCACAAGTTCCTTCCTTTATAACTTCTTGATTACTTTGGTATTAAACAGAGACGAAACCGAGTAGGGGGAGAAAATGACTTTCTGATGAAGTGTAATTCTTCCTGGAAATGTTGCACCTACGCTGAGCTCGGCTTAAATTTTAATCTCAAAGTCTGGATGATGAAATAAACATAAAACACATGGATGATAAAGCCGCTGCTCCGCTTAATTGATGCTCCATTCAGCCTTGAAGCATCTGATTTAAAGAGCAAACTGTGTTGTAGATTGGCTCCCTGCTCCATTCTGCAAAAAAATTTACAGTCACAATAGCAGTATAAAAAGATGCCTTTGGCAGTGACGACTGACAAAGTTATGTCTAAAATCTCTCCAAGACGCTCTGTAATTATTTTTGTCCATTTGTCCATTTATTTTCTATTTGAAGTAACATGTCTCTATGGTAACT